TTACAAGAGGATATAGACTTATTTCTGCCAGCACTTTTTCAATTAACTAAACCATCCCCAACTGACACACCATATTCTCTACCTTTATATCAACCTTTTAGTTCTTTGCTGCTTGGGATCAATTCAGATATTGTTTTTATCTCTTAATTCTAAAAGAATATCCATTTTATCCTTTGTGTTTTCCATAATGTTTTTTTACCGATTCTGATTATGTAAGGCGGACATTATTTTTTCTGTAATATTTTTCACGATTACAAACAATCACTCAACATTACTCTTACTGCTTTACCTATACTTTTTGTTTCAATATTTGATATTTCTTCAAAGTTTCTTTTTCTATTACGATTTTAGAAAAATGTCAGTAATTAAGAATTTCACAATACCTTTATTTTTGTTTTTCATTCTTAATAAACCAAATATTATTCATTAAATTAAATTCAGTAATTTCTATTTTGCTTATTTTAAACCCATCGCTTAAGGATTTGATGTCTTTTAGAATGTCATTTTTATTTTCTTTTAAATATTTACAGACGTAGTCTCTTGTCTCTTCATCATAAAAAGTCAAGGTGTATATTGCTGGAGAGACTTTATAATCTCTGTCGGCAATTCGAATTTGTTGCTTTCAATTAGAAGCTGCTAATTTAGGAAATAGCAAATCTCCTTCCTTAGCCAGTCTCCATGATTTTTTTTCATCAAAGTCGCCATTTATTTCTTCCTCATTTAATTTGCCGATTTCAACATATCCTAAAGAATTAGTAGTCTCTTTCGGTATTTCTTCTTTAATATGTTTGTTAATCTCACAAACTTCATTTAAACAAAATTCATTTTCTTTTTTTGTCCTTTTAATATAGCGGGGATAAAAAGCATAAATGTTCCCTTCTTCGATTGTTTTTCCTTCAAGTTCTTTTTTCTTGTAATCATTCAAAATTATGTCTTTCAAAACTACAAAGCGAGAATGCTTGTCAAGTTTTATCGTCTCTCTCTCTCTCTCTCTCTCTATTCTTCTCTAAACTATCCAAACACATTTCTCTTATTAGAGGAGAATATTTATCCATAAGATTTTTTTCATAGCCATGTATTCCACTAATTCCTTTCTTTTTTCTCGATTTGCTAAATTTATAACCTAAAAATTTCTCTTCTTCTACATTTTTCACCTTCTGATAGTCAGCAAGAGCCTTAGGAGAATTAATTAAAAGACATTGATAATTCAAATCTTTTAAATCTAAAGAACCATTTTTTTTCATAAAAAATATAGCGGGAGAAGTGGTGGTTCCTCAAAAAGAACTTTCTCCACTACAAAATATCGCTAAAATTCTAAAATTTTTCAACATTCATTTTCTCGCTTCTCCATACCTTCCTACTGATAAGAAATTATGTGGTAAAATTAGGAAAGCAAATCCGTCCTCTTTTAATAATTGTCAACTTCTTTCTAAGAAAGCTATTTCAATCATAGTGTCTTTGTCGTTAAACTCTTTAATTAGTTCAAAAGTTTTACCAAACTCAATTCCCATCTTTTTTAGGTTTCACATGTGGCCTTCCACTGAAAAAGGAGGATTGGAGACTACAAAATCAAATATTTCGTTTTTAGTTTGTTTCTCCTTAGCATAAAGCATACTATTTCCATAGTCATCACAGGAGAATTTATTCAAAGCATCAGCATGTAAAATTTCTGCTTTTCCATCACCAGTTAAGAATAGCGAAATCTTGGTAGTTTTAGTTAAGCGATAGTCTTTTTCAATGCCATAAACATACTTTTCCGCTCAAAAATATTTATTCTTTTTTCATGACTCCAGCAATTGTTTTGTTTCTTCACTCATCGAATAATCATTCGGATTAAAATTATCTATTTCTCCTTGCAATCTTTCCATGTAACTTATTAGAAAGTGTCCTGAACCACATGCATAATCTATAAAGTAAGGCAGTTTATTTTTTTGAATACTTTTGCTTACTCTTTCTTTTAAAGGCAAAGCATGGATCATAAAGTCTACCAGCGGATAGGGTGTAAAGAATTGTCCAAATTCTTGTTTTAGAGAAGTATTCAATAGATCTTCAAAAAACTCACCTAAATAGCCAGACCTTTCACTATAGCGAAATTTGTATTCACTCAATATTTCAACTATTTTTTTAACCACTTCAAAATTATACTCAAAAGTTTTTTTATCAAACACTTCAACAAAGGCAAAGGCGTTAGCTTTTCTTAGTCTTAGATCTTTGATTATTTCTTCTATTTTCTTTTGTAGTTTGGGTTCGGGTTTTTGGGAGCGAAAAATTTCTTTCACCTCTTCCTCAGAATGATCAGAAATTTCTTTCTTCAAATAATCTTTCATTCCCTCTTTATAAAGACTAGAAAGCCTTAGCATGAAAGAGTCTTTATCGTCGATGTCATTCTCAAGAAATTGAAATTGTAAACCTTCGTAATTAATAGGTGATTTTCCTTCTGCTTCTACAACAAATTCTCAATCCTTTCCTCGTCCCTCATCATAAACTTTGGCAATAAAAAGATTGATTAACTTATCAAAAGCATTAGATTTATCAGAAATCGAGTTGAGTCTTAAGATTTTTAGAAATTCGTAGTATAAATTATCGGCATCCTTTTTAGTGATCTCTTTTAGGTCAAAAAACTTTTTGCTTTCTTTAGCATTAACACAAAAAGGCGGATAATTTAAGAGGTTAATGCTTTTAAATATCTTATTTCATCTATTGTAAAAATCCTCAGGAGTGCTAGTATCTTTTAATTCATCGGTTACTTCTATACTATAAAAATTGTCTTTCTTATTATCGAAATCAAAAGTGTAGTAGAAGCCGATTTTAATTGATTTATCTTGATGTAGATAGGTAATTAACTGGTTTCTTTTTTTTGCATCAAAATTTTTAGTATAATTTTCTATTGTTTTGAGGGTTTTTGCTTCAATTATGTAATGAATTTTTTTATTTTTTTCTAATGAAATATCAACATGGTGACCACCATGACCTATAGGAAGAGATTTTTCAAGAGTTATATCGCCCTTAGAATAATCTCTTTTCAACAATTTAAGAACTAAAATTAAAACTATAAAATTTTCTTCTTTTTTCAAGTTTCACACTCTTTCATGTTCAACTTTTACATCTTCAAAAAATCACTTTTTTAGATTATTTTCTTCATCCAAGTAAACAGAAATTTTGTTTCCATTTTTATTGTACTGATATTCGAGTTCATTAACCGGATTTTTTTTAAAGTCAAAACTATCGCGAATATAAGAAAACCATTTTTTTCGGTCCATTTTAGTTAAAATTATTCTTTCTTATTTTTTTTTTACTAAAAGATTGAAAAGTTTACTTTATAAACTCTATAATAATTGACTTGGCACCGAACAAACAACATCTTTCAACTCTTCTCTCGCTAATGGTCTAATTTCCTCATAAAGATACTGTTGTCTTTTTTAGTTTTAAAGGCAGGGGCATTAGAATAGGAAATAACAATTCTCTAATTTCTTTAACATCTTCAACAGATTTCTTTTTATCTTTTCAAAGATTAATTTCTATTCAAGGACTGTCAAAGAATTCTTTGATTTTTACTACTCCTAGATTAGAACTCTCAAAAAGGAAGTGATGATACTTATTGACATTAGGCAACTTGCTAAAATACTTCTCTAAAACTTTAAGGTTAAGATATTGAAAACCCTCACCATTCTCATAACATTGGACTTGGTTTAATCCTTGTGAAATAGACTTTTCAACCACCTCTATAAACTCTTCTTTACAATTAATGGTAGACTTGCGATACAATCTTTTAATCAAACCAAAATTATCATCTACTCTGAATTTAGTATGTCCTGCAATCATAAAGTTTAATTCGATGGTTTCGTAAAAACCACAAATTGACAAGTATAATAAGAAATAAATAGTAGTATTGTTTTTATTCTGACCAGCACAGTTATCGCAATTAAGTTTCAGATGTTTTTCACCGTGATTAAACTTCTTAATGGCATCAAAGACCAAACTTAAAGTTCCATTAACTCCTTTGTCTAATAGTTTATTCTCATCTAAAACATAGTTGGTTTGGATTTTTGTTGCCTCATTTAGAACACCAAATAAGTGAACTTTTCGAGCCGTTAAGAAATAGATTTGACTAGGTTGTTGAGAAAAGTGAGGAAGGGAAACATTTTGCGACCAATCAAAACTATAATGAGCGATATTATTAGTTTTCTCCTTTACTAACTCTGTATTTTTATGATAATAATCCCTCTCTAATTTTACTCCTTTTTGGTGATTCACGATTTTTTTTTAAGTTTTGTTTGGAAGTTTCATCCTGACAGGCATAGAATTTGCTGTGGAGTTGATGGCAAGTATCGCATAGGTCGGAACGAGGAGACAAGAATTTAATGTGCGGAGTTAATTGATGTCAAAGTTTAAGAAAAGTTCTATATTTCAGTGATTTTAATTGGTCGTTTTCTTCACGACTAGCAATGAAATTTTGGTGAACTGATTTGTAAGTCATTTCGGTAGGTAAAAGTATAGTTGCGTTAGATTTTATCCTAGTTTTTTCAGTGTTAGGTAGCCCGTGAGTTTCCGCATAGTTTTCAATAAAATTCCTTACTTGTTCCTTAACAGTTTCATCTACAAATAATTTAGATTTTCATTGGGGCATACGATTAGTATTGCCATGAATTCGAGTAGCAAGTCCTTTGGTTCATAAGTG